CTTGTAAGTTCATGATGCTGACACCAGACAAAGAACGGATCTCTATGGGACATTTGATTTTGAGCCACCATGACTGGCTCTGACACTCTGCAAAGGTCAAGATTTGGTCTTRGTCTCCAATTTCTCCAGGTCACAACCTGAGCACTTCTGTGATGTAATAACAACAACAAAAAAACTAATAAAAAAATCTCAACTTACAAGTTTGAGAGGATCTGCTGAAGACTTCTTCAGAGTTCATCCCTCAGCAGGTGTTTCTTGTCRAGCGAGGAGGAACGACAAATGAAACAGTTGTTTCTAATGCTATCGAGGTAACATTTATATCCATTACATCACCTGAACGTCAAGAAAATTCACATTCAGAACAATTTGTTTCAACTAGGGCCTAAAGCTGGGTGAAAAATGTGCAGGTTCCAGTTTAATAAAAGGAAACCATTTCTTTTTCTTGTTCTACATTATTCAGACACCTGCACGGTCTACCCTCAGAGAAAGGCAAAATTACAAGAGGAAAAAGAAGAAAGTGGTGGCAGCACAGGGGAAAAAAGACCAAAAAGGTTGGAGGACCTTGTTAAAAGCCCTTCTGTGACAGACAAGGAAGGGCTACAGCTCCAAGTCATTAAAAGTGGCTGCGGCTTTAAAGAGTGACTGAAAAAAAAGGTGTACGAACAGAAAAAAAAGAAGGTTTGTGTGATATGTGCTACACAATGAGCAGAGGAGAGCCAGGTTTGAGAAGGATAATCGTGTAGCAGCTTACCGAGATAAACGATCAGAAAAAGGTGTGGAAGCAAAGAAACCAGAAAACTAGAAAACCAACCATTCATGGGAGAAATTGAAGCTCTTATCTTTTATAACCACAGTCTTTACTGTAAAAACTGAAATGCAAACCTCGTGGTGTTTTAAAGTCCCGTCTTAAAACAGATTTGTACTCGCTGGCTTTTAATATTACACAAGAGTTGACATTTTTTATTTTTCAAATTTATTTTTCTTTTACTTTACAATTTATTTATCAAAAATTATTTTTTTTTTGCTTGATTTTGTGGTCTCTTGCATGTTTTGTGTGCAGCACTTTTGGCCAATAAGTTTTTTTAAAGGTGCTATGTAATAAAGTTGGTTTGTTTTGATTTGAAACCTAAATTATGGTCATATTTAACATTTAGTTATCACTAAAATGTATTGATTATACTTGCAGTGACATTTAATATAAGATATAATAAGATAAGACAAGATTTTATTGTTATTGTTTCACTGAATAGAACACTGTGGTCCACAGACAATGAACAACAAAATATTTTGCAGCTCCAAAGGTGCAATTTAAATAAGAACATTATAAAAGATAAAAATAGAAAGACAATTGTCTAAACATCAGCAAATGTCTGTGAAGGGAAATGTCTATTATTTGACTTATTTTTCATGATAGGATCCATCCACTTTACCCGCTTTATGTTTTGGTTTCAGTAAGGTCCAGATTCATTCCTTCCTTCTCGTGTGTCTTTGAAATTACCAAACCTATTAGAGTTGGAACTGTTTGTGGTTCAGTGTGGACAAAGGAGATTTTTAATGACAAAAACTGACTGATAGAAAATCCTCTTTGAATCGACTTTCACGGTTTCTTCATCTGCTGCTTTAGTCCTGCTTTTAACAATATCTGGGAGGGGGAGTGTAATTAACCAAGACAAAAAAATAGGAGTCTTTACAAACTTAGAGTTTTAATGTGTTATAAAGCAGGAAAACAGAAGCCCAAGTGTCTAAAGAACAGAAACACTGGAGGGGGGTACTCTCATTTGGCTTTACTTCTCCTGTGGCAGCCATGTTCCTCAGGCTGATGGATGAAAGGAGAAACTCATCTCATGACTAATTATTTGTCTTCCCTCTAGAAGTGTTGTGTCTGCTGGTGGGAGAAATACAACCCTTTGCTCTGGCCAAGTCGTAAACAAACTAGAATGATGGAGGTGGCTGAGTCGTGTCCTTTTCCCTCATAGCCAGGCAAGGTTACCCAGAACACACGTACAGTATTTTTATATTTTCTGCTGTCATTTAAACCTATAATCTCCACTGAGTTATGACTCGTGTTTCATCTTTACTAGATTTACTAATTAACTGATTTGAATAAATTGAATGGAGTTGAAAAAGTAACCAGTTTGCTTCTATGGTTCCATTTTTCCCTTYAAGCCACAGACATGAGAAGGGAAGAGATGTTTAAAACAACAACAGCTCTCGAAATAAAAGCTGTGTTTCAGTCCTAAATCTCTGTTATTTCCACCTTAGAGCCCAGAGATTTAGCTACATAAAATGACTCTCAACCACTTGTAGAACTTTTTATGGTCTCAGATATTATTATGGTGGCATTTGAACTGAAAATTACACATTAGTCAAGTCCTCCCAGCATCACATTCCTGCTGCTATTTCTGCTACAACCTTGTAGTCATTTTTTTCAGCTCAACTGCATGCCACGCAACAATACATTTATTGAAAAAACTAGTTTGTACAACACAAGGAGTAACCATTACAATTATCATTTAACACAAAAAAAATATTCTCAAAATATTGAATATTATTGGGTAAAGTGCAGCTAAGCTAAGAAAYAGTGCCTAATTCAGGTACAATATGTATAAAAAGAATGACTTATATCACTTGAACTGTGACAGATGTTCAAGCATGAATTTAGATGTTTCTACAGTTTTATGGAGGGTAAATGRCCTGTTGTTTTATATGAAAACATGTCTGGAAGAGTTCTGTAAAGTTTGTCTCTGTCTAACAAYGAACCTTTACTCAAAGTCTTAGCAAACTATTCTTATTCAAACCACATAATGTGATTTATAATTTGCATGTTTTCTTTATTATTGCTGCAGGGCATGAAAATAGATGAAAACTGCAAGCAGAGTAGAAATAAAGAGGGTGCTGTAATGCGTATGTATAAGCCCCTTTAATTTGCCTTTTTAAAATTTATACATCTTGTTTATTTTGCAAAAAAATGAAAAAAAAAAACATAAACTTTCTTTAAATTTTAGTATTAAAATTTAATAGAACCATAATAAAATTCCTTACATGAATGAGTGTTGCTGTATTGTAGACTT